ATTAATAGCATTATCTGTGCGGGTGACATCTCAACAATGGGATTAAGGGTTGGCTTTTAGAGATCACTGCAATTTATGCTTTAGAATGGCAGCTTTCCTTAAAATACAAATTTCAGTTGCACAACAAAACAGTTTTGATTTTGCTCTAAATAGAATATGACCACAACTACACATTGTTCTTCCACCCTCAGTTTCAGGTGGGCCCACTCCCTCTTCCCCATTTCCTTTCATCTTCCCACTTGAGAGATTACTCCCCCCCAGCTGCATTGGTTCAAGTGTAGCATGACTATCCCACAGAATGGCTTTGTCAAATAAAGCATTTTAATCTTCATAGTGTCACCCCGGTAAGTTCAGGGCTCAGATCTAGAGCACAGCCCACTGAATGGGTGCAACTGGTAGGACAGTAACTTTCTGAGGGGAGGAGGTGTGAACCTCTCAAATCGAATGTGCTGATAGTGGTGTAGAAATGTGAAACCACAACCTAATGAGTAACAGATAGCAGCCTTCAAGCAATAACACCAATGGGATGATGGATAAGGTCAGTGGTGGTAATACTTAATGAACGTACATATTTTAATCATTTCCACAAGTAAATCACTTTACTACTTACTGTAGAAGGAATTTTCCCATCTTCAGGTAAAAGAATGTGTTTGGTTTTCTATTGATTTTAGGCAGAGTTATCCCAAATGCAATTCTCTAAAGGGATTTGCTACTTGGGTGCAGAATCTGCATAGAGCCTCATGCTTGTCTCCACCTACAGAGCAGTTGCAGGTGTCGAAGTTGCTGTAAATAGTCCTGGGACCAGTATTATGCATCTGTAGGAGGGCTTGGTCGCAATGCGAGAAATCATTAGCCCTTGTCAGTTGTTAAGGAGCTGGAGCTGTCCCAGCCTCTGCATCTACTCTGTGTATCACATGCTTAACTGCTGAAAGCCAGACAAATACTAAGGGTATCTGCAGGGTCCATAAGCCACCAACTGCTCCAGTAAACAAGAACTGCAGCTCACCAGTCCTGCAAGGAGCTCTGTAAAATCTGGTAGTAAAAGCAGAAGAATAAATGGCACCTAGTCAGCCTATGATTTACAACTTTCTTTACCACACCTGTACTATTTCATGTCAACAGCCTCCATAAAGAAAGTTTCAGGATAAGTTTCAAGGCAGGCTATCTGCAGTCTTTCTGTGAGGGCAGCTAGGCTGCAGTCGGAACGCAAAACACCAACCTAGCGTTAACTATAGCAGGTTAACTCCCTGGCAGAGTCGGATTAAAATAAAAGCTTTGGCAGCAAGTTTTTCTTGCCTACAGCGAGTCCTACCCTCTGCACTTGTTTTTTCAGCTGAGCACCTCTGAGTTGCCTGCTGCACTGCAATAAATTTCCCCTGGATTCCTCTGACTTTGGGAAGAGCTCTTCTCCAGCATTCTGGCAGTATAGGCACCTCCTGCTCCTCTTGGACACCTCCCAGGTTGCATGCCCCTTGTCTTTCCCTCTCGCTTGCCTCGCCCTGTCACCGCAAGCTGCTGGCGGTTCAATGTGCCCTTTGCTCTCTGGGCAGCAGCAGCAATCCCTCCTGAAAGGTTTTGTCTGACAAGAGCCCCCAAGACAAAGCAAGAAACCCACTTTTGTCCTTGCTGCCCAGTCACAGCCCTTTAATAAACATTTTGCTATAAAACATACCTTAATATTAGTATAGTAAACTATGAGGAAACAGATGAGATCCCGTTACAGAAATTTGCAGAGATCTGAGCTGCACTGAGCATCATCTAATCCACTCAGAAAATTTAGTGGCAGGATCTAGAGCTTACAGTGCTACAGTGAGTGCCAGGGTGCAGCTGAGCAAAAAGGGGCAAGAGGCTGCAGGCTGACGGGCAGAGAGCAAACGGAGCAGCAGAGCAGAGGAGTGAATAACTCCGCATAACCTTTTCTCAATATAGCAGCACTGTTCCAGATGTAGAGTAGTCGGTGCAGGGTAGCAGAGACCTCTCATTAGAAAGGGCAGTGCATCAGGTCTGAGCCAGGCTTTAACAAATGGTTCCTATTTCAGGTAAGCGCTGCTGGCTGACAAGGCTGTTCTGTCAAGACACAGTGCCCAGCCGGCCCGTGCTGCTGTGCTCTGGTTTATGCCCCTACCAAGTGGGCTCCACAATATTCACAGGCTCAGCTTTCCCCTGACTTCATGAGGAGCAGCGTCTGACCTCTGTGAGCATCCATCTTTCCACAAGCGTAAGAGCAGAGAGTGAAATATAGAAATCACATCGCATAATCCCAAAAAACTTGGCAGAGGTCTGGAGAAATAAATTGAAAGTAAAATAAAGAACATAAGCAAAAAATCATCACAGATATCTAGAAACAGAATTGAAGGGAGAGGTTCATCCATATGGCTAAGAAAAAGTTTGGGCAAACTATGAGAGATGAGAAAGGCAATTAAACAGAGAAAGAGCGGCTGCAGGAAGCTACATGAGTTCTTTGAACCATTTCCCTGTTGTTCATGGTGAGAGAAGGGTAAAAAGTCTTCTGGGAACTCCCTTCAGGTAACCAAGACATAGCTGTAGCATGCAGCAAACTCTCTGAGGAAGAGGTGTTGGAGCAAGTAGAGAGACTTATTAGCAGTCACTCCTCAGGGCTTGATGTTGTTCTTGAAACAAAGAAAGGAGCTGAACTGACAGAAGTGCTGCTTATCAGGACAAGGCATGTGACCGAGATCTAGTGGGTGGGTATGTTCTGGCTCCTGTCTTTCTAAAAGGAATTTACAGAATGCTGGTACCATTTCAGCCCAAAGGAAAATTTTTAGATAAATGTTATTAAAGGCAGGTTCATAGGCTGTACAGAGGCAGCTAAACAGAGAAAAATGATGAAAATGCTACTACTGCGGCTAATAACAGTTCCTACAAATAATGGCGTGTAGCATGCCAAGTTATCTTGAGTAGTCTATAAAGCAAGGCAAATACTAGGGAATTTATTGACATTATGTGTCTTTTGTCCTCCTGGTAGTCATCTAAGTCTTCCAGAAAAAAACACTGCTTCCCCCTGTCCCCTTATGGCACAGCTCACTAATGAGATATTTGTAGGAAAGGAAAATTTGTGGGTGACCATGCCATGGAGCAGGTGATTAATGAATGCTTTTTGATTACCTTTGCCGAGACAATTACAAATGTTAGCAGTCTTGAAACTATCACCCTTTTAAAAACAAATGCCAGGTACTCAATGTTTGTGGCCTCTCACTGCAGCGAAATGCACAAGCTGATTGCAGCCCCGGGAGGGATGTCCTCATGGTGTCCCAGGCTGGCAGCTCCCCACTCTGCCTGGCCTTCCCGCTGGAGGGCCAGTGGCCTGGCAGGCCATGCACAGTTCTCCTTCCTTACCCAAAGGGTAAAGGATTTGGAGCCGACCTGCTGAGTTTCTGTCCTTTTGAGTTTCCTGTCTACTGTAAAAGAGGAGCCTGATGGAGTGCCAAGGGCTTCAGGTCGCTCCTACGCTAACACAAAACCAGAGTGGCATCATGAAATCAAAGAGGTTACAGCGCTGTAAGTGTGGTGAGAATAAAGCCCTAAAATTGTCCTTAATGAGTTTAGATTGGCTGCTTCCTAAGAGTTCCTCAGTGGCTTTTTATTACCAGGTTGCTCTGGGCAAGCTAATAATCACAGGAACTGTACAGAGCCTGGAAATCGAATGGATTAGCTGAGCTTAACAAACAAGGTACCTCTCCGTTTCTTAAGCTAGATTTTGTGGGTGAGTTAATATAAACTAATATTCATCAATGTTCTTTGTCCAAACAATACATGCTTGTTTTTACCTCATTCCTCATACCGTTAGATAAGCCATGCAACAGCCTCTTGCTGCACTCTGCTGTGGTATAGAGCAGGCAGACACAGCCTGAATCCTGGATGGTGAATTTCCATAGCTGACCACTTGTGCCTAACTCTTCTTAGCACAAAACAGCTCACTATTAAAACAACTGTACTGAGTTAAAACAACAAAATGCAGGGAAACTTTGGATTTGTTATAAACAAGGTAAGCTTTGAAAAGTTATTTCTGCTACAAACTGTTTCGTAGTTTCTGTTCGTCAGACAATGTATTTCTACCAAGGAATCATGCCCTTTCTCATTTGGGAAGCATTGGTTCCCCCAACTCCCACCCCCTCAGTTTTGTGCAAGAACTGTTTATTTAGGCATTTATTAACTGGGGAAGTCCTACATGCTCAGATTTGCCATTTTTCATAATATGTGCTTCACTCTGCAAACTTCTCCCACCCAGAAACTCCCCTGATATCAGAGGTCCAAATGGTGGCTTGATTACTGATAGTAAACTGATAGTATGCAGAGCACTTCAAAATGAACTGTGTCTCAGTGCAGAGCTGGGACCTTTCACAGTCAGTAATGCTATCTGTTTCTTCCAGTAGTGTTAGCAGACAAGAAACATTTCTAAACTCCTAAAACTTGCACTTCCCACACACGTACGCCTTGGTCTATAATCTGTAGATTATATATTAATCTCCCATGCTCCCACTAGCTCCAGATCATAACACTGCACTTTGATGTACTTGCAGGATTGCAGCCAAAATTATGTTTAATGGCCACAGTAGCTCTTTTAAGTTAGGAACCACCCTGGTAGCAACATTAAACTACCATTGTAAGATTATGATGAGCTGAGAAGATTAATTTGGGGTTCATCCATTTCTCTTCATGTTTCAGGGCTGATATTCACATGGGTAATATGACATTTCTACCCTGTGGACCACTAAGGACTATTTCAAACAGGATAATAACGTGACAAAAAACCCCAAACCCACTCCCCGTAAATTTAAATTCAGCATTCAGGTTTCCATATCTTCACTGCATCTACAAAAAGATTGAAATCTTTTAATAGAGGTGAAGGACAGTAATTAGCCACCATGGGCTATTGCTGTGAAAAACAGGAGAAGCATCAATAATTTTTTGACAGCAGCAAGACCAGGGCCCTTCCTATTACTTAAATGTGACCTCTTTGCAATGTTTCTGTCTTGCAGAGAAGTTGTTACTTTCAACCACTTCCTCGAAGAAGCAGCCGAAAAAGAGGTGCGGGGAAAAGCCAGGCTCCAGCACTTCATTGAGAACCTGTTGCAGCGCGTGGATCTGGCAGAAAGGCAGCTAGAATATTACCAAAATCAGCAGATGGTGTGCAACCACACCAACATCAGCGAGCATGTGGTAAGCCAGCAAAGTCCTTCCCTTCATTGTCACCCACCACCAGAGGGAAAGTACTTGAGCTTGAAAATGGGTGAGCTCAGTGGGTCAGGCTAATTGCTACTCCAGACAGACCTGGATTAGTAAAATGTTTTAGACGTGTTTTATTTATGTTTTAAACTGCCACTTCACATGAGTGAAAGGAGCAGAGTGTAAGAGCAGCAATAGCCAAAGATAGCAAAGGGAGAGCAGAGAATAATGAAATATTTGCCAGGTATTTGAATTTTTTTCCAGCTTTGGTGTCACCATTTAAGGCTAGGCTGGCAAATAAAGACGTAGATGGGGTGGAATACTTTGTTGGTCAGTTTTTGGTCACCTGTCCTGTCCACACTTTCCTGCAGGTGCAACCCTTGTACACCTTTTCACTTGTGGACCATAAGAGAGCCAGCAGTGACCTTGGTTCCCACAGGGATAAGTACAAACATGGGCCTTTCTGCACACCAATCCTACCATTACCTTGGTAACAACCATAAACATCAAGCGTTATCAATTCTGAACGCAGATGCTGTCTGAAAAACACGTAGTCCACTTCAGAAAGTGCAGTTACTTGGAAGAAACTTAACTGAAGAAAAATCTACTGAAAGGAGAATTGGTCCTGTTTTAGGCAAAACCAGGACATTTGGCTATTGCTGCTGTTACCTTGCAACACACACTTTCCTTTATGTCACTTAGTGACTTGGCAGTTTCTTGGAGATGTCTAAAGATTTTCAGGAAAGATGTTGATCCTCACAGAGGACCTGTCAGCCTGCTGGCACGTAGGCTTGCTTTCTGTAGTTACCTATCAGGGGACACTCAGAAATGGTGAATGGATTCCCACAGGCCTGTGCCCTACAGATTAGAAACCAAAGCTGTCTGAACATTGTTTTTTTAAAAGACATTATTTCTTTAAAAGCCCTTGTAATTAATACTTAAAACTCAGTATTTTCATGTATTATATTTATATGGCAAGTTTTATCCACATACTTCCAAAGAACAGTTCAGTTTAAATGAATACCCCATGCTGCCTATGCTAAGTAATTGCTCATCCTGGGATGTGAGAGGAAAGGCATTTGATGGTGCACAGCACTGAACACGCATACAACGGTGGAAAACAAAGGTCCCTATAGCCACTTGAAAGACAAAGAGCTTTAGGTCAGACCTGAATAAATGTAGATGTGCTGAAATCTAGCACAGGACATCTCAAACGGTGTCTGTGAGAACATTGAGGGGGACCGTAAAGATGGGCCTCAGTATTAATCATCTCCCCTGCTCTTGATGTATTTACCGGGCTCCCTGGCTCAGCAGTGTCCCTTGGGGAAGGCACTAATTTTTGAGGCAGCTGCCCTGCTTTCTGAGTGACTTCAGCATTCCTCTAAGGTCATCCATCCAAATACTGACCAGCCTGACCTTCAGGAGGTAATTACAGAAAAGCACACCATGAGATGGCTCCAAACTCCATCCAAGACAGATGACAAGCGAAGTTACACTGGGCAAAAATCCATCTGCAAAGTGTGGACAATACCAGGGACAGAGGGAACATTTACAAGAACATAATAATTTTCAGACGCAAGATCTGACTTGCTTGGCTCAGTGACTTCACTAAATGATATTCAAAGGCACAGTCTAGTAGCACTGATGGGAGACCAGTACAGAGAACCAATTTAGTACCCACACCAATTTAAGCTGAGCTGGCATTAAACACCTTCTTTCCTGACCTCCACTAAAAGAGGGACTAGACAAAGTGTTTCCACATTGTGAACCAAACTGTTGTAAAAAATGAAGTCATGCGAAGTTGTGTTGGCACTGACGCTATGCTGTCCATAGCTGGTCTCAGGATTCAGGGTGGGAAGGGAGAGAAATGCTTGCGTTCTCGCCCCCCACCCTTCAGTGCTGCTGTAGGCACAGCCAAGAGCTTGTAGCTGGAGTTTCCTAGCCACTTGTGTAGAGCAAATGTATCACTGCAAAATTAAAGACTCTGAAAGTTAATTTAGTACAGCTTATTCAGGCACTGCCCCTTATTAATTATCTTGAACACAATAATTACTTCTCATTGTATCCATACTGTTTAATCTAATGTGAAAGATCTCCGTTCAGCCCACACTTCTTTAGCAATTTACTTTGATTATAGTTATGATAAAAATAATGGGGGAAAAAATCCAACCCCTAACAACTCACACATTACGATTTTTAAAAACAGATGTAATAAGCTGGAGGAGTAATAATATGTAAAAAATTTTTTTTCAGTTTATTTCATGAATATTCTTGTGGTTTTAACAGCAGGTGAGAATGGAAATACTATTTTGAAGACTGCCTATATTTTATCCCTGTACTTTAATTACTTGATAATGTAATATTAATAACCTGTTTCTTTTTTCTTTGCAGTTTACAGATATTTCATTAAATAAGAAACCCAGATGCCTGTATGTATATCTTTTTATTTTTCTCTTGCTTAAATACACTAACTTGACGTGCTTACATTTCTGCTTTTGCAGTTCACCTTATCCAAAAGCCTGAATCAGGTTGGGTTTGGATCTGGCTCTGTACCCAAGTATGATCTATATTTATGTCATGTAGTGGAGGAAAAACAGATTTCTGCTAGATCAAAGCTAAAATCAGATATTCTTTAAAGAAAAAAAAAAAGAATAATTTTCTGTTAAATGAATGACTCCTTCCTGTTGAATATACAAGCCTTCTC